GGTCCATTAGGGGTTTTTGGTTGTTGTTAAATCAGTAGTCGCATGAGCTGAGCTGTCATTTAGTAATCATTTTCATAACATCAAGTTGACATTATCTTAATGAAAGATCTGAATGCATTTCCTCAGACAGTGTATCGTGATCTTTGTACAGTACAAAGAACAGCCACAGCCTTGCTACATGATGCAACAACAGTTTTTTACCTTTCCAGTTCCTTTAAAAAATGTTACTGCTGATGGATACACCAAAGCAGAGTGAATGCACAGTACTACCATACTATTCACTCTAATTGTAATCAGGCAATTCAGGCCTAGTATAAGGGTGGCTATGATGCAATGAAAATGTGGGCTAACTCTTTGCGGCCCCCGAGAACAGCTGGTTTTACAGCAAGCTGATAAGTGGTATTCACATCTGTCCAGTTTCCAGTTGATTTCCCCCACAAAGGTTGTCTCTCCGATAGCTGTCCGACTGTCACTCTCCACCCGTTCCCCACCTGAATTTGACGTAAGGGTGTACCCTGGTAGGGGCACGCTCATGTGATTGGTTGAAAATAGAGGAGACATCTGATTGACTACAGATAATTCCCTATTGAAAAAATCAATAAATCTCAAATCCTTTTAGATACATACATTTGTCGAATTCAATTTCATTTATTTAAAACGAGAAATATTGTTTGCATCAGAAATATATTTGTGAATCTTATTTTTTTTTTAATGCGTAGATATAAATTTCACTATTTTTGTTTGAATTGAACAGTATTTTTGTGGAGTCATTTACATATAAATCACAAACTCCATTTGTGACTCCTTCTGTGTGCCTTCATTAATACTGAGACTGATGTGACCACATCATCCATGGGCTCGTTCTCTGCCATCCTGCATAATGAACACTTATGTTCGGTACTTAAAGTATATTTTGTTGCTAATACTTTTGTACTTTTCTTAAGTGCCAGCTTATTATGCATTGTGAGTAAAAAAGTAAACATTCAATGAAGCTTATTTGTGTTGGAGTTTGCAGGTCTGTTGAGTCTAACTAAGTTGTACATTAATCTTAACTACTTGTGCTCTGTCGGTTTGTCGCAGGTCTTCGTCTCGCTCTTCATCCTATACAGGTTCTGGGTCATCTCGCTCCCGCAGCCGCTCCTCCTCGTTCACCTCCTACTCCAGCCACTCCTCCCAGCGCAGCTCCTTCAGTGGCAGCCGCTCTAGGTACAACAGTGTGTGTGTGTGTGTGTGTGTGTGTGTGTGTGTGTGTGTGTGTGTGTTAGTTCTTCTTAGAAGTTCCCAGGCCATTCAGTCAAGTAGGCTAGAAATGTGTTCCATATCAAAAACCCTACAGTATTTCATTTGTATGCCTCCTCACAGCACGGCTGTGGCCAGGTTGTCTGCAAATGTCTAATGGGATAAAACAATGGAGTGATAACATTTTGGACATGGCGGTAAACTGTCAACCAGGATTTAAACTGTTCTAGATTGTTTTTATTCCAAAGCATAGAATTCATTTGTTGGCAATTGCCAATCAATACTGAACTGCTGCAATCTCTTAACAGTTACAGTGTACACATTTTTGGGACCAACCTAAGATTACAGTTTCTGGATCTGGAGTTAACATACATCATATATGTCAGAGTTGCACAGGAATACCTCTAACCATACATGTTGTTGTTTGGAACAAAGCCACTGTCTGAGGACCCCTCACATGACAAAACAAAGAGTTGAGTCAAGATTACTACCCAAAGATCTTTTTCGACACTCATCGCTCTCATAGGGACATTTTTGCAATCCCACTGTCCACTACCTGTACAGTGGGTTTGGAACACAGTTAGCAAATAATTGTTGAGCATAGTGGATCATTAAGCATTTGTAGATAATAAAGTCACACTGCTAAAACAAAGAACTCAGCCTGTTTGTCGACGTCACACGTTAGCTTTATTTCCTCAATTGCTCAGTTCAGCTCACACTTGAAAATGAAAACACATGGAAGCACAACTCTTTCCTTTTGTTGTGTTTCTGAGTGACTTAATGCAACATTGTAAAACCGATTTATACTTGTGTGATGTTATCTAACTTTGAAATTAAACTGGATAATTCCATTTTTCTGTTGATTTTTAGGTCTCGCTCGTTCTCCACGTCCCCCTCACCGAGTCCAGCAGCACAGAAGAACGCAAAGAACAAACTAGATCTTCCCCCCGTGTTGGCTAAAGGGTAAATCTTATCAAATCAGATTCATTCCATCCATAGTCGGCCGTGCTTCTATTATCTACGATCCTAAGTACATATTCTCATTAGTGTACTTTCTTTTTGGGTGGTAATAAATAATGTTAGTCATAAATTGTCATAACAGTAAAGTCTCTAGTTTGTGCTCGTTCCAGCATCACATTGCATCATTGGTGTTTATTGGTTATTATTTATTGATCATTAGCTAGAGCATTGCTTGTGCTCTGCTGACGTTGTAGTTGCTAGCACATGCCTGCACATCACTGTGTGCATGCTTGAACAAGTGCTTTTTCCATCCCTAAGCATGCTGCTGAAGCCGGGTGCCATGCCCCCTCCTCGCAGGGAGAAGCCTGCCATGAAGAAAGCTCCCAGTCCTCCTCCACCCGGTGGACCGCAGGGCAGACCCCCCAAACCCCTGCCAGAGGGAGGGAAGCCTCCCGCCAATCCCCGGGAGCCTGGAGGCGCAGGTGGCGGGGCAGGCGGCGGTGGAGCGGGGAGACCCCCGCCTCCAAGGGAACCTGGAAAAACTCCCAACCCGAGGGAAGACAGGCGTAAGGAACGGCAGCAGCATCCTCCACGGAGGTAGGTGTCTCATCTTCAACCTCTCTGCGCATTCTGAGGCAGCAGTACTGTTGTAGTCAGTGCTGGTACAAAACAATGATGCCTTGATGAATTACATTTGACATTGTCTGCTATGGGGTCAAATTTGACTGGAAATCTGTTGGATTACGTTACATTGCTACGGGAATCTGATTAATGGCAGGAATCAGGAGAATTTCTGTTTCAGTTAGTCTATTCTAACTCTGTAGTCTGAAGTGAGTCTTGGCTCACCTTGTCAAAATGCCTGTTACTAGATACAACCGTTTGGGGCATTTTGAATTTGTGACGTCAGATTTTAGTTGACACTCATCCAAATGTGTATCGTATAGCAAACCATTTACAAGAAAACAGGCCGATTCTGTTGGCAGCTGGCTCTCCTGTTACTTAGTCAACTAGTAGAATTACGTTCAAGACCAAGCAAAGCATCCTCCTATCAGCAAAAACAACTTCAGGCTTTGAACACAACAAAGTCAACAAGAAACATGCCAGATGTTCTTGAAAACACCAACACTTATAAACATTATTACTGTTAACAGTGTATCGGCAGCCCAAACTGTTCACTCAGTGCAGTTTCCCCAGTCATCGCAGGACAAGCATGTGTTACCGTTAACATTAATGATTGCTCTGTTCCATTGGAACTATCCCAGTAAGCCATGTCAGTGTGTCAACATGGACTATGCCAGGACTGCATGGAATGCAGCCGTTATTGTTATTAATTAAACCTGTGTTCAAAAAGTCAATACTGTGAGAAAGAAACCATGGCTCCGTTTCTATCATCCAGCAGTATCACAGGCCCCATTTCTACCGGTCATTTAAATTGTCCCACATCAGGAAAAAATCAGGATACAATATCATATTCACAAGTACGTGTTTGTGTTTGCCAGATCTGAAATGAGATTACAAATTTACAATGTTAAAACCCGTTGGACCCGAGAGACCCCCACGGGGGGCTGTTTTAGAGTGTGCAGCATTCAGCGTGTCGTAGAAAACATTTTTCATAAAGAAATATGATTATTGCTCCAGACATATTAAATATCGAATTAACGGGAAAAGTCCGAGCAACATCATCAAACCAGCCATTGTAAACACTGCAAACACAATTATACATGAACTAATATCTTATCTGGAAGATATCTAGAAGATTTGCCACAATTTTGGCCAAAAATCGACGACCTATGCTCACTCTATGGCTCTCTCATCACGGAGCAGGATCGCACATGGCGGATGAACACATGCAGGAGGGGCACGATTCGACCCGGAAACGCACAGCGGCGTCCAAATTACTCTCTTTCAAACCGTTCAAAAGTTATGGGTATGCATGCCAACATCAGCCGCAGGTCACGAGAAAAAAAATTGGGTAAAAAAAAACTTACGTTTTGACGGTTTTGGCGATGAAAAACGGATTTATTCCAGCCGATTTCTGCACAGCTCTGCCCGCCATGTTCTGCTGCATGTCTGTGAGTGAGATCAATGCGCTGGCGGAATGAATCACAAAATGGTAGACGATTCTGTGGGGTGGAGCAATCCATGTAGAGAGGGGGGTTCGCCCTGCATTTTGCGATTTTTAGTCAGTAAACAGACCCGGATCAAACACCCCTGCATGGCTCCCGTTGGACTATCCCGCATCTAAAAATGTCTCACACGAGTAAATCGGCCTTACCAGGGTCACATAGACACACATTATGAGCCATTTATTGTTATGAATGACAGATATGACACATCATAACTGCTCAAAATTATTCAAAATGGTGTAAAACTTATTTATTAGGATTATTGAACACTCTTAGTGATAAGAAAAGTGAATATATAGTTAATATTTAGTTATATAGTATATAAAATTAGTATACAGCAATGCAACAGCTGGTTCCGAAAATCAAAATTTTGATTTTTATGACCATTTATGCTGGCCTGCTTCACTCAATCGAAGTAAAATATGTTGTGGGGACATGTAAAACGTGTTGTTCTATGACTGTGGCGTATTTTTAGGCTTGCAGCTGCATTATTTAAAAAACAATGTTCAATACAAGTGCTTTTTTTCAGGCGAACCTAGAAATTTTTTAATTTGAGCTGTGCCATAAGTGTATCAGTTATTAACCAGTAACATATACACAATATTTACACAATTTAACAAATCTCACAAGTGTTACCAGTATTCTAGCATAAAAATTATTAAAATAGACCTTGTAGTTAGAGCTGGGAACTCTCTTGAGTATGGGTATGCAATTTTCGGGCAGAGGGCTAAAAATAGGGCTAGGTACCAGAAGTTAAGGAATTGGATAAGCGCTAGAACAGCACATTATCCCTTCTAAATGACAGCGTGTCTTGAAATGCACTTTGTTTCTTCACACATCTAAACAGCATTTTAAAAGTTAGATAGCATAGGGTGCATAGAGACTTTGTCACTTCAGCTGCCATTCATACAGTGACGAGACCAAGAGGATACTTCCATGAATCAATTGACCCTTCGCTAAGTCCCAGCCCTCGAACGCAGACTGACCAATTGTAGCGTAGCATTGTCCAACTCCGACCAGGGTCCGCAACTATCCGGTTCTTCTCCATAGGCTCTTGTGCAATAGTTTTGGGTTTCCTTCATTTTCAGGCTGGTTTTGTGGATTCCGAGCGAGCTACGGTCAAATGTTTTTCCTCGGGTATGTGTAGTAGCAATCCTCGGAGAGGCTGGAAGAAAACATTTGTTTCTGAGACGTTACGTTTCCATATCCAAACTGAAGCAGAGGACATTAGCACAACATAAACTAGTGTTAGCACTTCAATGCTTTGCTAGCTACTGAAGTTACACTGAATGTAAACACATGCTGCTTTTGCTGTTTAAAGACTGTTACAGTAGATAAAGACCTACCTATACGGGAACAGTGCATTTTATTGTCCTCCGTCACTATCGCGAGGTCATGTAGCGGTCGACTTTCACCCTGTGATGTGATCTGTAGGCTTCAGCTTTTCATCTTTGTTGTTTTACATCGTGGCTACATCATTCAAACATAACATGACTCTGACTCTGTAGACTCTTCTGTCTGCTTCTCTCTAGTTATCTTTTGGTTTTCCAAAAATTAGATATTTACCCAGGCGTGTGCAGTTAGTGACAGTGTGGGCTTCATGGTAGCAGCAGGGGGCGGGCTCAGCGAAGAGCCCCCCTGGTTTGGGCTGCGGTAGCCCAAAGTCACAAATCTCTTCTTCATTGTTGGATTGCTGAACCCTTTATATGTACCAATCTTCAGGGAGACGTGAGTGGGTCAGCCCTGGCTACTGTCCACATCACTGGACCTCTCCAAGCTCTTTAGCCAGTAGATCCATTGTTTATGTTTATAAAAGCATGTTCTGCATTGTTTATGTTCTCCTTGCACACCTGTGATTACTGTGTATACAGTGGTGTGTTGGGCGGTAGCGACATTACTGGTTTAACTACATTCTCTGAAGCTCAACCAGCTGCTGCAGGGTCTGAACTTGGCACCCGTCACTAGAAGGTTAATGTTGTCAGAATGACCTAAATATTATCACCTCATTTAGCGCATAGATTAGAAGTAGCAGGCAAAAAATAGATCTTTCCTGCCACCGTGCACTGGCATATGACGGTGACATCACTTACAAAGAAGGTCACAGAAGTTGCAGATATGAGTTTCTGTCTCGTCCCACTGGATTAAAAACCTGGTTAGGATTCCTTAAAATGTTGTGAGGCCAGCGTGGGTGTACAGGATGCTGTGCCACTAGTTTCAGGTGCAGGATGTGGGTGGGAGAATGTTGGCCTTCCTGCATGGTTGTTTACCCGACTCACATTTGCAAGGAAGTAAGTCAACAGTGGATGGAATTATAAACGGATACATTTGCAATAAGCAGAACTGTGTTTCCCAACACATCCACATTTGCATATTTTTGTTTGTGTGTTGCATAAAGTGATACCGGGTGTATCCTGCATGTTGGGGTAAGACCATAGAGATTGGGTGTGTGCGAGAGAGTGGGTGGATGGCTCGTGGAAAAACTGCACTTTTGTGTGTGGGCAGAAAGGGTGACACTGGAACTTATCCTGGAAAACCAGTTCCAACACCTGTTTGCTATTCAGATCATCATAAATGTAGGTTGGTGATACTGACTGTGGCCGTGGGATGGAGTAACATTCCCAAGACGTCTGAGGAGACGGCTGTAGTGTGTTACTTTGTATGTGGATGGCCAATCATTGTTGATCGTAAATGTAGTAGGATTGTCTTTTACTTTCTTTAAAAAGCAAACGACAGTTTGGGCAAATAATAATATTGGCGTGTGCCCAAACACCGTGCGACACCGACTACCGCAGCCGGCCCAGGTCTCAGCTTTCTCTGTTTTTCGGTTATTGCTTCGATTGATTTCATTTACCATCAACACTGATTGGACTTCCACATAAAAGGTGGTGAATTTCTCCCGTAGGTACTTAAAAAGACCCCCGATTGCTGCAATGCGTGTCAGAAATCCCATTCCCTGATTTGTGTGTGTTGGGGGAGTTTGGAGGTAGGAACTTCACATGTACAGTGTATGATTGTGTTAATTGTGCTTTTGAGAATAAACGTAATATACAAAAATCACATTCCTTCTCTGAGACATAACTCAATCAAATCTGAAAACGAACGTGCTATCCCACGTATATGAGTCACTGACTTAAGTCGCATCAGTACATCTGCTCCCATTGTTTTCTACGTGTGCACATTGGCTGTGAATTGACGCATCATCGAGGGTAGTTCATTTTCCTATTTCCTCGGTGATGACGCATGACGTCTCCCTGGAAGAGCAGTAATTTCATCACATTCGCTCCCTGGAGTGACTCATCACAACCACTAGGACTGCCCCTCCCCCGCAAGCATGCCTGGACAGGTGCAGAGATGCCTGGACAGGTGCAGAGATGCCTGGACAGGTGCAGAGATGCCTGGACAGGTGCAGAGATGCCTGGACAGGTGCAGAGATGGATGTTTATTCTACAGTAAATCATTTCGGGAGAACTTTCAACAGTGTCTGATTTGTCAGCCATCAGGTGATGATTTGAATGTTTTGTTCTTTGTTTGTTCTTAGTAGATCTTAGTCTTGGTTTGAGGCTTTAGATTAAAAAGTGTCCGCAGACTGTTGTTGGCATCTTGCTCGGGCTTCTCTTTTATTTCAGATATTGGTCAGACACACCTGGTCTGTGTTAACACCGCTAAATGATGTAACACAAGGATATCATTCAATGTCTATTACAAATACACAGCCATACATCTGCTTTCCAGAACTTGCGAATCATCACATTTTGAAGTTTTCTTGAAAATGTGTCAAAAGTGTCAAAGTAATCCAGTGATGGTTCTATCTTAACACATGGGTACATTGCGAACAGGAACTGCTAAAAGCTAATTTATTATACTTTTGATGGTGCCAATTCAACAAATGTAAACGAGTAAAGGCTAAAAGAAATCAAGCTCAAATTGTAGCTCACAACTATCTAAGTGACTCCATGACAACACTATACTTCCTGTTTACATCCCCCGAAGCGTAGAGGAGGCTTGGAATATGAGTCTTCCCCCAATTCATAATGAGACAAAGAATAATAATCGGAGTGACAAAAGTTGGGCTACTGGTGGGCACAGTTGTCTCTATTTTGTGGGGATGCCACAGTGTCTGGAATGGAAGTGCAGCAAAACATTTTTTGGGTTGGAGTCAGCGGGGTCTGCCCCGGTGACTTATCTCGGTGGGTCTGGGACGGACGCTCAGTGTGGGAGGATCCTCTCGTGGGACCTCTCCCTGGGACGCTGGCCTTCACCGGGTGCGTTTCCCCCGTGGCGTGCTCCGCGACCGGCTCTAGGTCAACTTGGAAAAGGCCTGGGGGGTGGCTCACAGCTTCGGCCCCTCGCCCAGACCTTGCCACTCCCCCTTGGTCGTGGACTGGTTCCTCCCTCCCTGTGGGGAGGGACTGGACTGTCCTCAGTGCGTCAGGGTTTTGCAGCAATGTCTGCAACCCACCTGACCCGTCTTAAAACATGGACCCCATCTTGTTTACCATGCTTTGTGGGTGTGACTTTTATGCCGGAATCATCACTATTTATATCTATACAACCAATGTGTTGATGATTAAATCGTTTACAAGAGCACAAACTCAACTGAGGGGTCGCCTACGGAGTATTCAACAACCTTGACTCTCAGGGTTGGAAATTGGCACCAGCCACCAGCCAAATGCTGGTAAAACAATGGTAATCAATTGAGTGACTGTGGTCACAGTGGCAGGAGGACAACAAAAAAGGTTGGAACGTGTCGTTGTTACACCCTCCTTTTGAGGTTTCCATTGCTGACCGAGGAATAGAAGCAGCCAGTGATTCCAAGTGTTGTGGAGCTGCCCAATGTCTTCCCATGGCTGCAGAAGAGATAGCAATGACTGGAGGCATGTACTGGTCTATACATCTGGTACTTCTCCATTTTCCATTTCAAAATATGCTGATTTATGTGTTAATTGCTGAACAAGGAGCTTGGTAGTACACCTTGGTTTTCTTTTTTTAAAACCTTCCTGCTGTATTCTCACTTGTGTGTCTGTCTCTTCCAGGCGAACTGTGAGTGGGAGTGTTAGTGGAAGTGGTAGCAGTTATACTGGTTCTAGCTCCAGATCCTCGTCCAACTCCCTCTCGCGCTCACGTTCTGGATCCAGAAAGTCCAGGTACTCGCCACGAACACCCTCATTGCCATCAGAACTGCAGTTTGCCAACAATTTCCCTTTTAAAGAGAAGTTGTTGACCATATATTGCATTTGGGGGGGCATTTATTTCTGTAAATGACCTCATTTGTGGACAAGCAGATCGATGCAGGCGGGATTTATAATTGCTGCAACTACAATTGGCTGCTTTTTGGTTTTGGTACTCAGTATTGCATCTTAATTATCTTTTGCATTCATCTTCAGTTACTGTGTAAATATCAAAAATATGAAGGAATATTAAAGTTCTTGTGCAGTGCCTGTTCAGAACGGGTTAAGTGATTGGCCTTTGGTGTTGCTGCTTGAAGGTTTTTTGAGAGCCGCTCAAACACAAAAGCTGACACGACACTTCCTCGGGCCCTGAGCAGTACTCCTGCCCTGGCACTCCCCCCAGGTGTCCTCCCGGTCAGAGACATTGGTGTAAAAATAGAGCACGGCTTTAATTAGCAACCTTTTTAGTGTTGTAATACACTGGGGAGATTCAGTCTTACTGACGGGGGAAAACATAAGTCGCGGCTTATGAACTTTCACACCAGTGAAATACACTCTGGTTCCATGTTGCTTCCAGTTGGCTATCCGCTCGTGTTGACTCCATGGAAGTGAAGGAGAGTCCGTTTTCTTATGTTGGTATATCCAGCATCCCGCAGCAGAAGTGATGCCGAGCCCTGAAGCCCTCGCTACTGAACAGAGCGCTGTTTGCTTGTTTATTCACTTCATTAATATTGAATGTGTCGCGTGTCGAAATTGCACAAAATTCGACAAAGCACTCCCTCGGGTCTCCAGCGATACACCCGCCAGATGTGTAGATGGGATCGATGGGAACAGTTGTCGAGATTTGTGAAGGGGATGCAGGCAGGCAGATATTCCTTGCTTTATAGGTAAATATTGAATGGTTTATTGTGATTACACAGCCTAAAACATATTCATTCTCTGTTCTTTTGCCTTGGTTTCATGTGCTGTCTCTGTTGGGAAACCCTCCAGGAAATCCAGGTAAAATAGTTATTATTCAGGGTGTGTGTGCACATGTATGTGTGGTATGTGTGCAGACATGTGGGCATGTGGCGTAGTGTACACACAATAGTGATGACAGCGCTCAGTTATCTTCCCCACTCGGAACCAGCAGCTCGTGGTTGACCTGTTGTCTTTTTTGCCGCAGATCGCTTAGTGTGAGCAGCGTGTCATCAGTGTCATCGGCGTCGTCCAGCGGCAGCTCAGTGCGTAGTGCAGACTCGGACGACATGTATGCTGACCTGGCCAGCCCGGTGTCCTCCGCCAGCTCCCGCTCGCCCACACCAAATCACCCTCGCAAGGAGCGAGGGCCTGCACGGGACCGGCCCCCACACGGACGAGACAAGAACAGGGGTTAGTATGGGCAACAATAGACAGGCTGCTACACAACAGCTTAACATGCATGTCAAAGATTCCCAAATAATGGCCAAGTTTCAAAACAGCCACCACGAACAAATAAAAGCTGAGATACAAATGATTGAGGGGGTGGCATTATCTGTATTGGCTCTTCTGGTTAATTCAGCCTAATGTATGTTTAGCTTTACATTTAGCCATAGCACTGATGTAATCAGTAGAATTACTGATTACAGTGGGTGTGATTCTACTGTGGGTGTGTTTCTACTGTTTCAGTAGAAACAGTTCTACTGATTACATCAGTAGATGTAATCAGTAGAACTACTGATTACATCTACTGATGTAATCAGTAGAACTGTTGTCTGTTGAAGAAGCGGAACCGGTGGATCAAATGACCAACAGACATCTTTACACTTACTCTTCCAGATCAGAGTTTTGTTTTGCATTAGCATTAGTAGAATCAAAAGACCCGCAGACATGTGTTTAAGACCATGTTCCATGTTCATACATTTATGTATTTGTTGTAAACAAAAACCGAGTTTGACATTTTTCTCCAAATGGGAATTATCTAATTGATGATTAGCATTGCATCGTTCATCAGTTCTCATGTTGTCCGTCTGCGTCACAGAGAGACCATCAAAGAAAGATGAACCCTTCAGAGAGGACCGCAGGAAGATCGACCCATCTGGTGCCCCCCCTAGAGGAGGCAACCCCATGCCCAGATCTGGACCTGGTAGCCGGGGTGGCCACCATGTACATCCCCCGCCTGGCACCATGGGCCCCCCAGGAAGCTATGGAGGTTCTGGTTCCCACAAAGACATTAAACTCACCCTCCTTAATAAGGTTAGTGTTGCTGCTCTTCCTCTTCTAAGGGGGCTGTTTCTTCCTTCACTCCAGGAAGTCACTGCTTCCAGCCAAGAGATAAACCAGCACGGCCTTTTCTCCTTTTCCATCACTGAAATGTTTCCCTCCACTCGGCCATTTTAGTTCCATACCTGCTAGAAACAAAGTAGAGACAGTAATTATTGAGGTTGAAATAGATGATATTGCACTCAGATGTGGAATAAATCAGTTGACCTTTGACCTGCTCATTGGATTGAAAACCTTAAATGTCCATCTGTGTTTCCGTTGCTTGCCTCCATGTGTCCTTTCATCTTCCAGCAGCAGGCCGATAAGGGCAACAGGAAGAGGTACCTGCCTGCAGACAAAGACAGGCCCGGCTCTCCCCTCAGCAAGAGAATGGCCATGTCTCCAGACAGAGGTGAGAAACGTGTGACCAACAGCAACCCTTTGCTGCTTCACATACACACCAGACTGGAACCATGCTGGCTTCTTATGAACCATCAGGGGTGTGATGCGGTCCATCTCTCTGACATGATGGATATGATTCAGCTTGTGTGAGAACATCCAGCACACACTGTTGTTTGCCTGAATGCATTCTAATCTGACATTTTGGTCAGATTCCACAGAAGTACAAATTGGACATGTTGAATAATTATTGTACTTTTAAAACATTGACATTTATTCTTGATGTTGAATATCTGCTCAGATTGTTTGGTAATACTTGATGCTACATTAATGCCCAAATTTGTACTGAAATTATTTGTTTCATCATTAAGATAGTTGACAGAAAATCTCTTAACACGGTTTAAGTTTCTACATAATTGTATTATTTTATTTATTAATATGACAAACATTGGCTGAGTTCCAGCCTTTGATCTTCTGTGTTCTTTATCCACATTGAGAGGATTGTAATCGTAGACGAGCTGTAGAAAAGCTTCAGCCGGTTTGTATATGAAGTAATGCATGTCTTTGATTGTTTCACATGACGTCTGAAATGATGCAGAATTAAAATGCATATGAGCAGCACTACTGACCTCTTTAGCCTCCTTGAGCTCATTGTTTTCATTTTAAGGTGCAAAGCAGTACAACGTGTGATGAGCACCCTGCTTGCATGTTCAGATACATTACTTTCCCATTCAGCACTGCAACCAATGCATGTCATGTTTAATGATTACATGGGAGACTCGCCACCTCTTATGTTGATGGTAAATGTAGTCAACTGACGCAAAACATTCCTCAGTGTGTGCTTTATTGACCCAGAGAGCCTAGAGGCGGAGCCTAGAAATCCAGGCTGAAACAGCCTGGAGTCTCCTGGCCTCCAAGTGCATCACTGTGATGTCAGTACAGCACACGCTGAGGAATGTATTGGTTCAATCGACTATATTTACCTTCAACACTGATTGGTTGATCTTCATGCAAGGCGGCACATAGCGCCGGCTAATGTTGGTCTACCAGTAACCGTACCAGCAGGGCCGCAACTTTTAGTTTGGGATTATTTAAGATCAAAGAAT